AGCTGAGTGAAATATAAAAAACGGTTTAAAACATTATAAAAACAGTTTTAGTGTTAAAAAGGCGAATATAAGACTTAATATTAATAACTGAGCACTATACCGTGAAAGAACTATTGAACAATACTTCATACAATAAACATTCATTCATATAACCATAATTTTCGATTGACTAAAACAATAAATCTTCAGATCGTTAGAAATTGTAATCATTCTCAAACCCGAATCAAAATTGTATCAGATTACATTGTAAAAGACAGAGTTTCAAAGCTTTTTATGCCCACTCTATACGAGTTGGAGGTATGTAAGGATTTAATTTTTTTCATGTTTGAAAAAAAAACGTGGATATTTTCTGCAAAACTTGATACTGATATTACTTAAAATTATTGTGTAAAGAATTAAAAGAAAGATTATTTATAATTTTTGAAATATTAACAGTATATTGTTGGACATGGACATTGTTGATAATATTCCCTGGACATAATCAGTATTATTAATAAAACCTTCGGATATAATTAATTATATAATTGTTATTTAGAAAATAAACGATAATTAGAGAAAATGACCAAAGTTTTATCTTTATTTATATATTTACATTGCGACATAAAATGTATATATATTTTCAGAGAATATGTGTTGTACAAAGTTGTTGGTAAACAATCGAAGTAATATTATTAGAACCCTTTTGGACGTTTGATTTCCTCGAAACATATAAAAATATATTATTTTTAAAAGAATATGGCAATTTTTTCAACCATTTTCGACCTATGTTTTTAAAAAGTGTAAATCAATTTTCAGGCCGCTCTTTCATACAGAAAATTCAAAGCTTTGCAATACATGTTTAAATATTTAAAAACAATAAAAATAGCAAATTTTGAAGCTATATCTTTCATAAATTTACTATGTTTTTCTTTAAAGTAAAATTTATTTAAGATGTCTGTGCGTTCATGTCATTATTATTTCACATCTTTTATCATTCTCTTGCAAGATCTCTATATGCAGATTCACTAAAAATTTTAATTTCGATAAGAACTTATTTTAAACTTTAAAAAATTATGAAAAATGATGAAAAGTGAATATTTCAAAAATTTGTTGTTCTTCAGGTCCATTCAAAATTCAGATGTTATCAATACCATTGTAAATATTCGATTAGCCATTCGACAGCTGAAAAGTACTTTCTATGCTTCATGAAAGTCAATTTCAATATCTATGACACCAAATATTCACATGAAATCATAAATCCAATAACACCTTTCTCTCTAAAGGAAAAAGGTATCACATGTTATCTCTTATTTAACACGAGTATAGCATTGTAAACAAATTCTATTACGAAAACAGAAAAAGAATGGCACAGACTTATCAAGATACCCAATACACAACAAGAAAAAGTAAAAAAGTTTGTTTGCACCGCGAACGCGCGGTCGCATCTGTTCCCGTTTCGTTAACTATGACGACAGTGCACGGAGGCCGATCCGTTCTTCGATCGAAAATTAAATTTCAGCAATTAGCCAGCTGCTATTAGCTTTATGAGATGTTTGGTGTGCGCCATTAGCAATGCGCGGGAATAGACGGAAGAGTTTACCGGGCGCGTTGGTGTGCGCGTGTGTGTACATCACGTCGATTCTATTAAATCATAATGGGTTCACAATGTGAGCCTCTGCTCGCGGAGGTTGACTAGGAACGAACATAGACACCATACCTAAAGCCGAGATCTCGTCTATCTCGCCGAGATCCGTGTCTTTAGACCAGGGATTGAAAAGGTTCCGAAAATAACTGTTTGAAACTATTATATATCGGTTCCCACTGAAACAGTTATGACAAATTGACGTAAGTCATAACTGTTATTTGGTATATCGGTTCTGAGCTGTATCGGTTTCCTGAAGTACTGGAACCGATATTATGTCGGTTCTGAAACGGTTCTGTAACTGTTATTTTTTTATGCTTGAACCAGTTATGAAAAACCGAAAAATAATAGTTTTGTAATGGTTATTTTTTGGTGTTTAAAACAGTTATGAAGAACCAAAGTGAAGAACCAAAATGAAGAACTGAAAAATAACTGTTATAGAATCGTTTCAGAATCAACATAAGAACCGAAACTGATATAGCTCAGAATCGATATACCGACTAACAATTATGATTTATTTCCATTCTTCGTGACTGTTTCAAGAACCGAAACCGATATCGTAACTGTTTTCAATTCCTACTTTAAACTGGTCATACTCCGGATTACCCGCCGTGTGAAAAAAATGGAGTAACAAGCAAAGTGCATACGAGAATGGTTATCACCTTTCTGCTACCACTACGCCTAGCGAAAAGTATTCCATCGATGAAATTTAAGTGTAACTTGATGTTATGGATTGATTGCGTGGAGAGTTCTTACTTGTTTTCGCTCTGACTTATTGAATGCACGTGTTAAACTGACTATTCGAAATCAAGGGTATTAGTGCAAGAGACATAACGGAGAATAAGAGCGTTGATCTCTGTTTATGTTTACAACATATAGTTTAGGAGATGTTCGATACCGACGATCGATGCGCTCATCGATGCACGGTACGCGGTGTCGTCGTCCCCGATCGCTCTAATTTATGATTTAGTACACGAAATAACATTATATTGCTAATCGTTGAATTTGTCTCAACATCCACTATTACGTTGTAAAAAAAAGACATATGATTCCATTAAAAAAAAGTAACTTGCCCTTGATATCTCCCCTATCTACATAACTATGGAAATAATATTAATGCTACATAATGTGCCCCTTCATGCCAAACAACTTTTGTAAGAACACTTTTTTTCTAACTTCAATACTTTACGAAATATTCCACGGTACACATATATACGGCATACTCTGTATATACAAATCATTTTTTCGATGAGAGTGTTACTAAGTTTGATTGAACATTTTTTGTCAAGGGTATTAGTATTTATTAAGTAATTCAAGCAAACTTTTTCGATTGCTGGCTTAATTATTACATATATTATTAATTATATAGTAATAGTCTAGCTTGTGCTATTTACCATACTTATAATATTTACATTAAAATATATTTTTCTAGGTATTCATATACTTCTTTAAGAACATAAAATTCTTATCATCGGTTTCATTTGATTGTTACTTATACTGAAATGTTGATAAAGTTCGTAACAGTTGTTATTCCAGTGTACTTTGCTCGTAAACTAAAAGTAACTTGGCCTACTTTACATCAAAGCAAAAATAATTACATGAAATATAATATTATCGCATATATGTTATCATATCGCAGTTCTTATTCGATGTGGATGATTCAGTTATGAGATTAATTATGTTGATTTAATTGCAATATCCATTAATCAGGAATTTCATTAATTAACATCTTTTTCTATGACAGAATTCAAACCTTCGAACATCTCGTATTTTTTATAGCTTCACAAATAAAATTTACGAATGTATGAAAAAGCATCGTTTACTATCAACATTTATCACAGTCATGTACACTTATTACTGTGCTCCTGTATTGTTAATAATTGCCGCAATGAAATTGCATTTCGAGTGCACGAAGAAGATTGAAAATGCAAAATGGAATTATAATTTAAGTGATACGACACTCAAAATTTAATACACTTAATTCATCCAGAGTTTACTAGAAAATTTGTTTGTCCGATATTATGATGTTCGTAATCAGTAGTCGGTTCAATAGTCAATACCGCGTTTACACCGTTGACAGATATATCGGTGATAAAAGCATTCCACATTCCATTTCGCGAACGAAAACGCGAACGAGAAGAAACGAATACATTTAACCCATTCAACTGAAATAACAGGCGAAATTCGTAGTTAAATATATACATATTTTTTGAACATCCTTAACAAATATTGTTAACCATAATACCCAAGATATTTCGTACAATTCGCGCTATAAAATTTATTTAGGCTGCACACCACATTATCATACTACTGTATTCGTGCAATTAAACATCACACCTCATCCATATAAGGCACAAAACAAATGCTTAATGAGTCAAAAAGCATCGGGGAGTTATTCATAGTACTAACTCTTGATTTACACGGTTGATTGGTTCCCCGAAAATGCCGTGTAAATTGAAACCAGTGCAAAATTCACATTGAAAAGAAACACACATGTAATAAACTTAACAAATTCACATGAAACGGTATTATTTATTTTTAGTATAAAATATATAACAAGAAATTTCCAATACCACTCTTTTTATCTTATAAGGATTATTTTTACACAATGTAAATACATCTTTCAATTTTTTTCTTTCTACTTGTTTTTCATTTTTAGCTTCCTTTTTACTAAAGATTTTTTGCAAAGAGTGCAAAATGAAATGCGATTGCAAAATGGAAGTTCTTCCACTCTTCAACTGTGTTAACACTAAAACTACCGAGAAATTAGAGTGACTTATTTCCAATTTTGTATAAAAATTAGAACAGTACCTTTTTTGAGATTCGAATGGTCTCCCAGTCTTGTATCCGGACATGTACACAAACTTAATTAAAAATCTTTCGCAAACACGCCTTCATAACCTAAATACTTTCAAAATAAACATTCTGAGGTGGGTCAATCTGACCAGTCCAGTAGTTTAAGTGTTAAACCGAAATCGTGCAATTCGAGTACCATGTAAATTAAGGGCTAAGTATTCCCAAATCATCGTAACACCGAGTGAGTCCCCAACAGATCGAAGTCCTCCGTTCACCCGCTCTATTCACGTAATTTTTCAGTCTGCGTCTAATCGGTCTGACATCCTTACTTGAATCAGACGGCGGTATTGATAAATCCCCGTAACAATCTATTATCAAACATAGATCTGAAAATGACACAGTCGGATGAGGATAAGCAGGCTCGAGAGCGGCATTCGAGAAATAGAGTGAAATAGGAATAGCGAGCGAAAGAGAACGAGAGGAAAGGAGGGGGAGGAAACGGAACGGACAGCGTCGAGAGCAGGACAGCCGCGTGGCGCGGGAATAGAAGGGGAATGAGACATAGAGCGGCTGTAAGAGAGGCAGAAAATGTGCCCGCTTGATAACAGCAACGCGGGCCGAGGTACCGTAGATGCACCACGGTTCTCCGCGTCGCGATCCTCTGTCAGCCGATCGATTCCTCAGGGTCGATAGTGGGGATCCTCGGGAGGATTCGAACACGGTTTCGTATCTGTCGCACTTCGGAACCGACACCAGTTCGGCAAGAATATCGTACGTTTTCGGACACGAGGTCCGCTTTCCCCGCGAGACCGTGCCGCCCCGCGAAATCGCTTCGCGTCTCCGCTGATCGCGGGCTTCCGTTCGCCAGCAGTCCTATCAAGATCTCGGAATCGCTTGGTCCCATCGTCCTACTGCGCGACACTTCCACCTGCGATCAGGGTAAGTGCGAGTTATGTTTTTATTTTCTAACCGTTCCTAGAAATTTTTTCGTTCAAGTTATTTGGGTTTAACGAGTCTACTTTATTTTTGGAGATTTTTGTTCTTGCTTTGAAAATGGTTAGGAGTTTAGTTTGAGGATAGTGAGTTTTATACTGAACATTGTTGAAGTTTACGTTTGAGCTGGTAAAGGAGATTTATACAATTCATCTTAATAAATAATTTCAGATTGTTAAAATTATCGCAATGTTTACGTTCGATTATACATATTCAAAGAATATCACACGTTCGCGAATAAATCCCCGATAGTTGCTAAGAGACATAATTTCCTCATATTGTACCAATCAATAACAAAACTAACACTTTCTCTTATTGAATAATTTAAAAGCCACCGTGTACGCTTCTACACGAGTCACTTGTCCAGTTATCAGACTTCAGAGCATTCGATAAAACGTCATCGCAACGTACGATTCGAAATGTATCCAGCCAAGAGGCTAAGTTGTTGTCGATCTGTAATCCACGCAAGTGTCATCTCGGCGAAGAGTCGTTTTCAAACGTTGCTCCGAATTCACAGGTAAGAGGACAGCGTTGGCGCGGTAATCGAGAGAGAAAGAATCGGTTGGACGCAGGATCGGCTTTAACCACGCGGCACGGAAACATGGAGAACACGTGATCGTGGACCGCCGAGCGGAAGTCGTGAGAGCGGAACCAAGAGCGGCGAATAGGGTGGTTGGAACGAGGAAAAGCGATGCTAAGGGCCGCGGGAACAGCAAAGGTACATCAGAAACGTGCGACCAGCAATTGAGGTCAGCCAGATCTCGAGGCTGCGGAACGGCGTTGGTCTGTCGTGCGGTCAGCGTGCCGTCCGCCGAAAATGAAGAATAACATGAGCAACCACGAGAAGAACGGGCCGGAGAGCCTGAAGTTGTTGAGGGTGCCTAGCACGCCGCCGACCACCCCGACTACGCCCACCACGCCGAGCTCTAGGGGACTCGAGGACGTCTTCAAGGACCTGCCCATCACCGATGACACTTCATGCGGGATTTGGTGCATGCGCGGCCCGACCTTGCAGCGGTTCGCGAACAAAAAGGCTTACGTATTCCTCTACGGTGTGCTCGGATGTATATTTTCGGCCAGTTACGCGTATTTCAACGGCACCATCACCACTATTGAGAAGAGATTTAAAATACCTTCGAAGACCACAGGTGAGAGCGTCAAAATTTCATGATTGGGGTCTGTATTCTTTGATCGATGGCTGAAATTGTTCGTGGGGCTTTTTGGGGTTATTGGATTTATTTTGAACGTTTGAGTCGAGTCTGAGTGATATATTTTTTGATTTATTAAGAAATCGTAAGTTATTATATGTATTAAATTTATGTGAGAAATCGGTGGGAACATAAATATGTGTCACGTTCATGTAAGATATATAGATCAATGGGATAATTTATTAATTGCCACACAAATAAGCACATGTCGATAGTGGGACATTTACTATATGCGAATGTATAATGTCTGGAAGTAGAATCAGCTGTATTGAAAGTATTTCATGCTAACGAAATGGTAAGTTAGATAGTGTTTAACGAACTTTAACATTTAATCAGTTAACTACGTTTAACGAAAATACACGTTGTAACATGTAATTCTTCTTCGTTTCTTTATTTTATCGTTAGAATATATTATAAATGCGTTTAGCCTGCGTTTGACGAGTATACACTTCATTATTTGATTTTATTGCGCGCACAAGAGATTTTTGAAATTAAATTCTACGCTTAATGAGTTAAGAATTCTGATAGCCGTTGCATGGTTCTCGTCAATTTTCGAGTGTTGAATGTGGTTATGGAATCTTTTTTCTTCTTTATCTGTTATTCTTGGGAAATTTTAGTTTCAAGGGGGAAAATAAGTTTCCGACTTGGAAAATTCGTTGTAGGTGTTCAAACGTTCCTTAGACATAATTGTTTTATTAAATATTTTTATCATATTGTGTATACTTAAATACGTTTAAACAAATTTTTAAGTGAGCGAGATAACTGTCATGTGTTAATTTCTTTGGATTGTTTTCGATTGTCATAATTTTGAGATAAAATCCAACTATATTACGCAACATGATAGATCCTTATCATTAATTATTAATGGAAGCTATGTTCTCTATTCAATTTTCGATTGAGGAAATAATCCATGCATGCCATTTATGAATTTCCTTTTTTGTTATGTTTACTTGGTACAAATTATTCGTTACAAAAACATTTATATTCAACGTTGTGTTTTAGTAAATTAACGCTTGTAGAATGGATTTCAGAAATAATGTTTATCTATCAGTCTAATATTTCTTTGGAGACTAAATGAAATCTAAATATTAATATTTTCAAGTGAAATAAAATATTTTGTAAATTCGATTACTAGAATTACTAGTAGCACAAAAATATATTGCATATCAACATCTTCTGAGTAATTTTTAAAGGATAAATGCAATAGTGAAGCAAACTAATTGTCATTTATTGCTTTCTGATTTTCCTTGTAACCGTTTTATTTCTTCAATCAAAAAGAACATCTATATTGTAAGTGTTTCATTTATTATAAAAATTGTTCACACTGTTTAAATATTTATAGTATTCTAAAAACGTATCATTCAGTTTGAGAGTAATTGTGGGATCATTTCTGATAAAAAAAATATTCGTACAATTAACGTTTCAGTAAAAGCATAAACAATTTTTCAAATTGACCATTTTTTTGCAAAATTATATTTTTCAAGAATGGAGAGTGATAAAAAATTATCAATTTTTAGATTAATTGGAATACCAAAAACATATTGAATAATTATTTTCACGTGTTGTTATAAAGAATGTTTAGTATAAACACAGAAATACAGACACTTTACGAATTTAACAATTAACAATGTTTTTTATTAAAAAATTTTCATTTTTTTTTTAGGTCTTATCACAGTAGGTAATGATATTTCGCAACTATTCGTGTCAGTGGTCCTGTCCTACTACGCAGGAAGAGGTCACAGGCCTCGATGGATCGCGTTCGGAATCTACACGGTAAGTTAATGCCAATTAATTTCCTTTGTTCGGAAACTGAATCACTCGTGACACGATTTTTCGACACCCTCTGCCGTTTCATTTTGCTCTGCCTTCCGTGAATATTGAACAATGCAGAGAAAAGTATCAGCTGTCGGCACACGCCCCGAAGAATGAACTAGGAGACGTCATAACACACCGGTTGGTCGGTTCTTAATTAAATTAGGAAGCATTGAAATCGTAGCTCCTACGCTCATTCACGCCTCTTACCATCGTACTCTCGCCACCGTGTGTTTAGCTAAGCGCTTCATTCATTGAACAGTGAAAAGACGCTGATGGTGTGCGTGGAACAACTCGCGTCACACATTTTCAGTAATTACGTCAAAAACAATCTGTTTACGGATCTGTCTATGTATACATTCGAACCGTTGCAATTTGCAACGTATTGCAACGTGTGCGGTATGGTTTGTATTGGGTCATCCTATAAGTAATACGGATTTTTTATACTTCTTTTATTTCTAATCCTTCTGGACCTGATTTTTGTACAAAATTATGTTTATATTGTATACATACTGGCGGTCCAAAGGTAAATAAATTAATTACAAAATAATTTTGTTAAAGTAATTAAAGTTAGTCAGCACTTACATGTTTCACCTTCTTCATCTTCAAATGTATTATATTTCCTCTGAGAAATTTCTGTTTTCTTTGTTACTTGTTCGTGGTTTATCTCGACACCTACAATTCTCTTAACAAAAGTAAGGTTAAAAGGTTTGAAAGTAAAAATTCAAGCAGTCGGTACAATCAATATTACCATTACATGAAATACATGAAGAAGTGTTTTTGTCTAAATATCATTACAATAAATTAGTTGTCAATGAATCTTCATACAGAAGATAAATGACTCCTGTATGTAAATCTGTAATCGGAACGGAGCGTATATTATGTTAAATTAATTAATTACAAAATAATTTATTACATTAACTCATGAATATTTTATACTTAGGAACTGTGTTTTTAAAAATGTAATCAGATATTTAAATACACGAATTAAATTAATTGCTAAAATGAAGTAAATACTTATTGATAAATTTGAATAAGATTCAATCTCTAAATAAATATTCAGAATTGTTATATTACACCAATAACCATGTTATATTAAATAATCAGCTCATTTTTTCAAAATTTACATTATATTCATAGTCGTACCAG